GCTGCTGCACTGCCCGACAGGAGTGGTGGGCCAGAGCGCTGCCCACGTGGTGGCACGGCTGCAAGGGAGGAGGGACAGCGGGGGAAGGGCCGGGGTAGCCTCCCTAGCTGGGAGCTCAAAGGCTGGGCAGGATGGTCCCGCGGGCCAGATGTGGCCCACGGGCCGTAGTTTGCCCACCTCTGCCATACAGTCATGATTGCTAATAATTCCATAACAAGGTTCCCCAAAAAGTTCACTGCATGTGGGAAGCTTTAGTACTGCATGACAAAGAGACCTTCCAAGGGTAACTGGAACATGTGACTAAACATTAACATATAGTGGTGCTCTCTTTTTTGAACTGCTTGATTCCAGAGGCATGGAGTTACTGATATCAATGTTAACATAAAATATTTCAGGGCTAGGAAGAGATCTTTTCTTCCCCTGGTGTTAATATATACCTTAATTCCATGTGATGCCCTTCAACCCAGTGTGCAGATGCAAGGTTTGTAAACATGCTGCATTAAAAATTATTAAACAGTTGTGCAGGAAATATGCAACACTATTTGTTTATTGTATGCTGCAGTATATTAGTAAATATAATTAGTTTCTGCCTGATAGCAGAGTAAATACATTATAAACAAGTGGTCACGATAAATAGGGTTATCCTGCAAAAGCTTTGGAAACTTAAAGTGATACAACACGCATTTTTTAACAAAGTATCTGCTTATTTCTGGCCGTTTGAAATGAGTAGCAGGATCTCTTTCTGTTGTAATTCAGTTTTGGTTGCTTTGGTTTAAATTCATCTTACACAACCATTCGAGGAATTTGCAAAAGTCAGTTGCTCAGCACATGAGGTTGAACAGAATTGTACTCAGCATGTCGGGGAGATACTTCATAATGGCCTTCTAGTCTAGGAATTCTAATCCTTTGAATTCCTTGTTAATGTTGTACAGGATTCATTGGAATACATTAGCTGCACTCCTAATTACAAATGAATTGTTTTTAGAAACATTTGATATTCTTGATTTTACTATCATCTTGGATACTTCGTACAAAAATATACTTTTTTACATTCTGTACAGCTTCTATTGTAAAGAGATAGCCAAGTAGTTTGGGTCTAAAAATTCAACCTGTTTTAAAATTACAATGATGTGAGAAGTGTATTCTGGACTGTATATGCATTGAATACATTTTTAGAGTAATAGTATTCATATAAGACCTTCATAATGACAATATTTTGTCTCTGCAATAGCATTTTACTGGCAAAGTATTACCAAAGGTGTGATGACTTCACTGTTTAACAGTGGAATACAAGCCAGGAGCTAAACAAAAATGAATATTAATTTCAAATTCTGAATGCTGTGAGGGAGAATAAGGACAAAATCATTATAAGATAAATGTCATTCTTGACTTACTAAGAGGATACCCCAAACAACAGATGGCTTTATATTGTACTTACATTTGTGGTTTTTTTTTCTTACTTTATTATAGTTTTTATAGTTATAAACTTAATAGGTCAGTATCAGTTTGATCTCCCTCCTTTTATTTCTAGTGGGAGGGAAGAGATATGTAAACTGAATTCAGTTTGTTGATATCATATATACCATCAGCTGCATGAAGGTTTATATAAAATGAAAATGGTTTGCATAGAGCATGTTGGTTAAAACTTTGCCATCTTCCAGCAATACCATAATGATTGCTGCTTGACAGCTTGGAGGAAGTTGTTTTAGAATTAGTGCTCTCTCTCACACCCACCCACACAGCCACCCCGAGGTTTTGAGTGCTCTAAAGCAGGAGTTCTCTCTTCTTTTTTTCATTACAAGAACCATATGTTAATAGAGAAGTCTCCTAGATCATCCCATCTATGAATGTGCAAAACACTTCATGTCCTGATAATGATAACAAAATATCCCTGTGGCAAATACAGTAGTTGGTTACATAAGAATGCAATCAGAAAATATGTACTTTAGCTGCCTTCAGTGAGATGTAGTTTGTTCTTTTTGGAGATGGTTAACCACGCTCAGCTTCATTTAATCTCTTCCTCTCTCTTCTCTGGAAACATGAGGAGAGCTAGCACCTTGATCCCTATGATAAAAATACACAGAAGGTAAAAAAATCACTAAATCTTTTCTCTTTAGCTACCACTGCTTAACCCTGAGCCAGGAGCAAGATTTGTGGTAAATTGCAAGGGGGGGGAGGGGAGAGAGGAGCAGTGACAGAAAATATTCCTGTTTCTTTTAGTGGAGCATTACAAGGAGCTATAATTCATCTGCCATTGTAAGAGGAGGGATTTGATCCAGCTGGAATTTCTAACTGATTTTTTCATGTAACACTTGCTTTTTAGTGCATGAGTGCAAAGCCAATAGCTACCTTCCAACATTATTCTATGAATTGTTAATTTTCATTCAAAACCTGCTGAATGCTCCAGAATCATCCTAGCATCACAGGCTATGCCAAAATAGATGTTTGTAGCTGAATATAAATGAAAATTTGTGCAATCATTCAAAGAGTGCAGCAAGACAGGAAATGCAAGAGCAAACTAGATTTGAGCTTCTATCTCCCACGATTGTAAGGGGGGCTTTATTTTTTTCTGTGGTATCTGCTGAGCTTCTTGAAAGTGGGCTTCAGAAATCTTTGGAGGACTCTTTGCATATCAGCTTATAGCAGAAAAGTACCACTTGCACATCCTTTAGAGCGGAGAAGGTGAAGCAAGCTCTGTATTACAAAGGTGATGAAATACCAAAAGAACAAGTGAGGGAAAGAACTTTATTTTTTTTTTCTTTTTGGTCAATATGGTAGCAGAGGTACTGAACAAATTTTGGGTGGGGATGAACATTACAACACATTAGAAATGCTTTTCTTCGACTGAATATGTTTGTTGTCATTAGTGAAGCACTCTTGTAAACAATGATGACTGGTCATCCTGATGTCTGTACATCTGCTGCTGTTACTCAAGAGGCAGCTTTCTGCAATATGGTTTCATTTTTCAAAGATACTGTTGGGCCCTTAGTTTAAAAATAAGTTTTATTTCTTTTAAAAGAAAGATTAGATTGCTGAAGGGAGGAAAAACAGGGTCAATCCTTAACATTTGTATCCTTGATATTCTTGGAGTAAGTAAAATACCCTGCTAATGAATGTGGTAGCACTTTTGCTTTATGAGTCCAAGATATTTCCCAGTGGAAATATACAAATAGCTTTCAATGGGGAACAAAGACAAGATTTATTTTAGTTGAAAAGAGCAAATGCTGAGGGGGATTTCTAGTACTTTTAAGTTTCTGATTAGGAATGAAAGTGAACACTGCACAGGGATTTGACTACGTATTTTTAAAAAGAGAGAGGGAGGTAATTAAAATCAGCAAACGTGATCAGTGACTTGTTATTTTTCCCAAAGTCTAAAAGATCGTCACAGGAATGTAAGTTTCTTAAAGTCAGTGCAGCAGCTGTTAGAAAGCTGGGTCCTCATGTATGACCCTGAAGACATTTCTGCTAGTACGGTTGCTGATTTCCCTTTCTTGTTGTTGGTTTGGTTGACATAAGTGGCATGTACTGGAGATTAGAACTGAGCCCTACCAGTAACAGTACAATGCAATGACAGTATAGAGGATCAAACAAAAAAACCCACCAAACTTTAAATAAAACGGTCTGTATTGAGAAAGATGGTATCATTCTGAAAATGTGGACATCAGTATTAATCAAATTTAACCTTTCCCTCTTTTTGGGGATCTGGTGGAAAACATGGCTTATCAGGGTGGGGATCGGTTTCAATTCTTCTGACAGGAAACTAAAATAAAAATCTGAATGTAAACACTAAAATGATGTAATTCTTTTGTTAAAGCAAATGGACTTGAATTTTCATCATTTTTACTCCTGATCATGATCTTTAGCTTTTATTGAATTCAGTTCTTTTGATGTAACAGTTATAAGAGTTCAAGTAATCTTGTTATTAGTTTGTCCCACTATAAACAGACTCATCACCACTCAAGCACTCCCTTGTGTCCTGAAGCAAGTCTGCAGTGCACTGCCTCAGTTTCCCCTCTTCTGGACTCCTCAGTACACTCCACAACCAACAGGCTTCCACAGTTCCTATAACAGCCTTTCTTGGGATCTGGTTTCTTAACATAAAGCTCAAAATAAATACAAGGTGGTCTTCCACCTTGTTGGTACAAAAAGAGGATAGGATGAGGCCCTTTCAAAATAAATAAATAAATAAAATCAAGGCCATAGTGTGGCCATGCTTCTCACTCACTTGAGAATATGCACTGTGAAACAGCTAGCAGCATCCGTCTCCCCTCTACTGCAGTGGAGCAGGAGGCAGCACTGAGCAAGTAATGGGGCCTGCGAGCTGCAGAATAACAGAAGAGTTTAGTTTAGCTGCCAGTGGTCCTACCAAGCTCCTTCCCAGAGTTCTTCCCCCTCCTCTCCAAAATAGAACACCAAAACTCAAAACACAAGCAGTTTCCTGCCTCAAAATGGAGTTGAGGTGAGGGGAAGCCATCACAGCCCCAGCAGACCAGCAAGAAGGTTGAGTGAGGCCTCAAGGCACTACTGGAAGAAGGCACGGAGAAGGAGAAACCCTTGTTTTGGTGGGAAAGGGAGTTTATCCAAAGTAACATACAGTTTAAAAAATAGATTTGGCCTGGGAATAACACTGAGATTTGGGCTGCTTTTAACTATTTTTAATTTTTTTTAAAGTTCATCCATTCCTAATCTTTGGTGCTAATTAGGCCTGAGCCACAAACTTCCTGTGTGACCTTGGGCAAGTCACAATTTCCTTGGGCCTCCATCAATTTAGCAGGCGAATTGGACAAAAAAACAAAAGCCCACTGAAAAACAGATGCTATAGCAGATCATAGCTTTCCTGCATTGAAAAGTGAAATGAACCAAACCCTTATGCTTTAATTAAACATTTTGTAAGAAACAATGGACTATGCATAGAGCATCCAAACTCGTTTCACAGAGACTTTGAGTGGAAACATTATTTAAAAAGTGGGACTTGCTTACTCAGCTATTTCAGAAAACCTTCATGGGAGGCAGATATCAAATGTACTGTGTGCATGCGCACTGTTTCTTATTGCTGGGTGTCAGACAGTCCCATTTGTTATTGAGTCGCAGCTACGACATGGAGTCAAGGTTACAATGGCACTTTAAGGCAGCAGTTCTGCACATACATGTATGTGAATAACCTCATGCACGGGAGTCATCCTGCTGATTTAGTTATCTGAACAAGGAATAAACTACATACTCTAAGTATGTGTGCATGTGTCAGGACAATCAAGATTTTCAAAATGAGCTATTTTAGAACTTTAAACTTGGTTTGTGCACTGTTATTTATTATGGCACATTAAGTTGTCCATGACATTTTAGAGAACATCTGGAAAATCGAAGAACTTCAACAGAGTGTACAATCTATCTTAGGCAACTATAATATACTAGGGTGACATCCGGGCCCCACTGACATGAACGGAAGTTTTACTGTTGACTTCAGTAGGGCTAAGTGATTAACTCATATGTGAGACAATGCAGAGGCATAGTGAAGTGAGGCAATGAAAGGGGAATAGTCTAATAAGCTTTCACAATATAAATGAAATAGAAGGAAAAGGAGAGTGTTTGGTGCACTGCACATATAATATAATGTGCAGTCCTGACAGAGGATTATGCCTTGGCTTGACGTTGTAGCCAGGAAATAATCTTTTGAATTAGCATGTTGGCAATAAGATTCTCTCAAGTCTACCTTCTGGAAGTTAGTTTACTGTGGCTTAGCCCTGGTCTACACTAGGACTTTAGGTCGAATTTAGCAGCGTTAAATCGATGTAAACCTGCACCCGTCCACACAATGAAGCCCTTTATTTCGACTTAAAGGGCTCTTAAAATCGATTTCCTTACTCCACCCCTGACAAGTGGATTAGCGCTTAAATCGACATTGCCGGCTCGAATTTGGGGTACTGTGGACACAATTCGATGGTATTGGCCTCCGGGAGCTATCCCAGAGTGCTCCATTATGACCGCTCTGGACAGCACTCTCAACTCAGATGCACTAGCCAGGTAGACAGGAAAAGAACCGCGAACTTTTGAATCTCATTTCCTGTTTGGCCAGCGTGGCAAGCTGCAGGTGACCATGATGGAGTCCCAGAATCGCAAAAGAGCTCCAGCATGGACCGAACGGGAGGTACGGGATCTGATCGCTGTTTGGGGAGAGGAATCCGTGCTATCAGAACTCCGTTCCAGTTTTCGAAATGCCAAAACCTTTGTGAAAATCTCCCAGGGCATGAAGGACAGAGGCCATAACAGGGACCCAAAGCAGTGCCGCGTGAAACTGAAGGAGCTGAGGCAAGCCTACCAGAAAACCAGAGAGGCGAACAGCCGCTCTGGGTCAGAGCCCCAAACATGCCGCTTCTATGATGAGCTGCATGCCATTTTAGGGGGTTCAGCCACCACTACCCCAGCCGTGTTGTTTGACTCCTTCAATGGAGATGGAGGCAATACGGAAGCAGGTTTTGGGGACGAAGAAGATGAGGAGGAGGAGGAGGTTGTAGATAGCTCACAGCAAGCAAGCGGAGAAACCGGTTTTCCCGACAGCCAGGAACTGTTTCTCACCCTAGACCTGGAGCCAGTACCCCCTGAACCCACCCAAGGCTGCCTCCTGGACCCAGCAGGCGGAGAAGGGACCTCTGGTGAGTGTACCTTTTAAAATACTATACATGGTTTAAAAGCAAGCATGTGAAAGGGTTACTTTGCCCTGGCATTTGCGGTTCTCCTAGATGTAGTCCTAAAGCCTTTGCAAAAGGTTTCTGGGGAGGGCAGCCTTATTGCGTCCTTCATGGTAGGACACTTTACCACTCCAGGCCAGTAACAAGTACTCGGGAATCATTGTAGAACAAAGCATTGCAGTGTATGTTTGCTGGCATTCAAACAACATCCGTTCTTTATCTCTCTGTGTTATCCTCAGGAGAGTGAGATCTAATTCATGGTCACCTGGTTGAAATAGAGTGCTTTTCTTCAGGGGACACTCAGAGGAGCCCATTCCTGCTGGTCTGTTTGCCTGTGGCTAAACAGAAATGTTCCCCGCTGTTAGCCACAGGGAGGGGGGGAAGGTTGAGGGGGTAGTCACGCGGTGGGAGGAGGCAAAATGCGACCTTGTAACGAAAGCACATGTGCTATGTATGTAATGTTAACAGCAAGGTTTACCCTGAAAGAGTGTAGCCACTGTTTTATAAAATGTGTCTTTTTAAATACCGCTGTCCCTTTTTTTTCTCCACCAGCTGCATGTGTTTCAATGATCACAGGATCTTCTCCTTCCCAGAGGCTAGTGAAGCTTAGAAAGAAAAAAAAACGCACTCGCGATGAAATGTTCTCCGAGCTCATGCTGTCCTCCCACACTGACAGAGCACAGACGAATGCGTGGAGGCAAATAATGTCAGAGTGCAGGAAAGCACAAAATGACCGGGAGGAGAGGTGGCGGGCTGAAGAGAGTAAGTGGCGGGCTGAAGAGAGTAAGTGGCGGGCTGAAGACACGGCTGAAGCTCAAATGTGGCGGCAGCGTGATGAGAGGAGGCAGGATTCAATGCTGAGGCTGCTGCAGGACCAAACCAGTATGCTCCAGTGTATGGTTGAGCTGCAGCAAAGGCAGCTGGAGCACAGACTGCCACTGCTGCCCCTCTGTAACCAACCGCCCTCCTCCCCAAGTTCCATAGCCTCCACATCCAGATGCCCAAGAACACGGTGGGGGGGCCTCTGGCCAACCAGCCACTCCACCACAGAGGATTGCCCAAAAAAAAGAAAGCTGTCATTCAATAAATTTTAAAGTTGTAAACTTTTAAAGTGCTGTGCTTAAAGTGCTGTGTGGCATTTTCCTTCCCTCCTCCACCACCCCTCCTGGGCTACCTTGGTAGTCATCCCCCTATTTGTGTGATGAATGAATAAAGAATGCATGAATGTGAAGCAACAATGACTTTATTGCCTCTGCAAGTGGTGATTGAAGGGAGGAGGGGCGGGTGGTTAGCTTACAGGGAAGTAGAGTGAACCAAGGGGCGGGGGGTTTCATCAAGGAGAAACAAACAGAACTTTCACACCGTAGCCTGGCCAGTCATGAAACTGGTTTTCAAAGCTTCTCTGATGCGTACCGCACCCTCCTGTGCTCTTCTAACCGCCCTGGTGTCTGGCTGCGCGTAACCAGCAGCCAGGCGATTTGCCTCAACCTCCCACCCCACCATAAACGTCTCCCCCTTACTCTCACAGATATTGTGGAGCACACAGCAAGCAGTAATAACAGTGGGAATATTGGTTTCGCTGAGGTCTAAGCGAGTCAGTAAACTGCGCCAGCGCGCCTTTAAACATCCAAATGCACATTCTACCACCATTCTGCACTTGCTCAGCCTGTAGTTGAACAGCTCCTGACTACTGTCCAGGCTGCCTGTGTACGGCTTCATAAGCCATGGCATTAAGGGGTAGGCTGGGTCCCCAAGGATACATATAGGCATTTCAACATCCCCAACAGTTATTTTCTGGTCTGGGAATAAAGTCCCTTCCTGCAGCTTTTGAAACAGACCAGAGTTCCTGAAGATGCGAGCATCATGCACCTTTCCTGGCCATCCCACGTTGATGTTGGTGAAACGTCCCTTGTGATCCACCAGAGCTTGCAGCACTATCGAAAAGTACCCCTTGCGGTTTATGTACTCGGCGGCTTGGTGCTCCAGTGCCAAGATAGGGATATGGGTTCCGTCTATAGCCCCACCACAGTTAGGGAATCCCATTGCAGCAAAGCCATCCACTATGACCTGCACATTTCCCAGGGTCACTACCCTTGATATCAGCAGATCTTTGATTGCATGGGCTACTTGCATCACAGCAGCCCCCACAGTAGATTTGCCCACTCCAAATTGATTCCCAACTGACCGGTAGCTGTCTGGCGTTGCAAGCTTCCACAGGGCTATCGCCACTCGCTTCTCAACTGTGAGGGCTGCTCTCATCTTGGTATTCATGCGCCCCAGGGCAGGGGAAAGCAAGTCACAAAGTTCCATGAAAGTGCCCTTACGCATGCGAAAGTTTCGCAGCCACTGGGAATCGTCCCAGACCTGCAACACTGTGCGGTCCCACCAGTCTGTGCTTGTTTCCCGAGCCCAGAATCGGCGTTCCACAGCATGAACCTGCCCCATTAGCACCATGATGCATGCATTGGCAGGGCCCATGCTTTCAGAGAAATCTGTGTCCATGTCCTGATCACTCACGTGACCGCGCTGACGTCGCCTCCTCGCCCGGTATCGCTTTGCCAGGTTCTGGTGCTGCATATACTGCTGGATAATGCGTGTGGTGTTTAATGTGCTCCTAATTGCTAAAGTGAGCTGAGCGGCCTCCATGCTTGCCTTGGTATGGCGTCCGCACAGAAAAAAGGCGCGGAACGATTGTCTGCCATTGCTCTGACGGAGGGAGGGGCGACTGACGACACGGCTTACAGGGTTGGCTTCAGGGAGCTAAAATCAACAAAGGGGGTGCCTGTACATCAAGGAGTATTTCAGGCAGGACTTCACGGAGGGTTCCAATAAGAAATGGTGCACCTAAGTTATCGTTCTTATTGGAACAAGGAGGTTTACCTGGCCTCTGACTGATACATGCCTAGATTTACCTCGCTGCACCTTCTCTGTGAGTGACTGCAGTGTGACCTAGAGGAATGAGTCCCCTAGATAGGGGAGGAGGCAAATGAGTACAAAACAAATCTGGTCTATTTCTTGTTCTGAGCCACTCCATCTATCTTTTACATCTTTGGCTGGCAGCAGATGGTGCAGAAGGACTGCATGCCATCCACATCTCATGGCTGCTCGGCAGAAGATGGTACAGTACGACTGCTAGCCATCCTCATCTCTTGCCTGCCTGGCAGAAGATGGTACAATACGACTGCTAGTAATCCTCATCTCTTGCCTGCCTGGCAGAAGATGGTACAGTACGACTGCTAGCAGTCCGTATCGCCTGCCCGCTCACCATAAGACGGTTCAATAGGACTGACTGCAGGACTAAAGAGAATGACCTGGTCAAGTCACTCCAAATTTAGTCCCTGCGCTCATGTCTGCCCGGGCGCTCCCAGCCGACGTGGCCAGGAGCACCTCGGACATGACGATGACGGCTACCAGTCGTACTGTACCGTCTGCTGCCACAAGGCAAGGGGTTGCTGCTACTGTGTAGCAATGCCGTACCGCGTCTGCCAGCACCCAGGAGACATAGGGTGACGGTTACCTGAGCGGGCTCCATGCTTGCAGTGGTATGGCGTCTGCACAGGTAACTCAGGAAAAAAGGCGCAAAATGATTGTCTGCCCTTGCTTTCACGGAGGGAGGGAGGGAACGGGGGCCTGACGATATGTACCCAGAACCACCCGCGACAATGTTTTAGCCCCATCAGGCATTGGGATCTCAACCCAGAATTCCAATGGGCAGCGGAGACTGCGGGAACTGTGGGATAGCTACCCACAGTGCAACGCTCCGGAAGTCAACTCTAGCCTTGGTACTGTGGAAGCGCTCCGCCGAGTTAATGCACTTAACGCACTTCGAGCATTTTCTGTGGGGACACACACACTCGAATATATAAAACCGATTTCTAAAAAAACGACTTCTATAAATTCGACCTGATTTCGTAGTGTAGACATACCCTTAGGCTCTATGGGCAAGTACCATTTTTGACTATTCCCTTTTATTGAGGGACAGAATGTTCAGACATGCAGTCTTTATTTTTTAAATTTCCTTTCACATATCCCATAGCATTTCAAAGCACCCCTAGAATCTGGATACATTTGCAATAATACCATATAATCTTTTCTTACATGCCAACTGGCTAGACTAAAGTCTATATGCATGTGTGGCGTTCTGCTATTAGCAGGAAGTTGTTAGGAATATTTCCCTGAAGTGTCAGAAGGCTGTTTCAATCACAATCTTAATTGCCATATTTCTCTACAATCCTGATCTATACCAACTGTGATTTTTTGTTGAACTATCCAGTCTACCACATGCTGACTTTAGAAGTAAGGTCTTTCATTTCATGATTACCTAACACATGCAATGATTCAAAATGCTGCACATGTAGCACTTTCAATGGTTATATTAATGGGCATGACAGTTTAAGTATACAAATATACAGACACATAGTTGAGGGTCTTGCAAAAATTGTATCGAGGCATGCTGCATTATAAATCAGTTTCTGAGCAGATGCCGTTTCTTTGTGTGATGAAGAATTATCTGGGATTTAAGTAATTTGTTGATTTACCTCCAAGCAGCGTTCCCTAGTTCAATAAAGCTGAATCTGAAAGAGTAGAAGGTGGCAGAAGTCTGGACTTTTCATTAATTCTGTATCCAACTAAGACTAACTGAAACCAAGGTGGCCTGAGGTCAAGGGTAAGATTAGTTAAGTTTTATGAAATTCTTACCCTTTGAGAGCTGACTCCAGAATTCAATAAAGGACTTGAACAAGTTTTGTTTCTTTGCTAATGCTATAAGCTAATTTTATCCTTTGGGGTTTTGCAGTTTTCTACCTTAGTTGCTATTTTGTTTTTGAGAAAAAAGTTATCTTACTGTTACCTCCTCCTCTTTGCACTCCTCTCCACCCTTTATCTGCTTCATTCACCTGTTATGTCTTATCATAAACCAACATTGTAAACAGTCTGGGTCAAGAATGTCTCTTTCCTACATGGTGGTTTAGCACCCAATGCAATGAGGTCTTGATCTGTGATTGTGGCCCCTAGGTTCTACTGTAAAATAAATCACTGTAAGAATTGATTTGAACTATAAATATAAACATGCAATTCAATCTGACCTTACTAGCCCGAAGATGCGACAACTTCTGAGGGATGATAGTTTTCAAATCGTGACAAATAATGTTATTCAAAAACAGCTTAATTGTGCTAACAAGCCACTATAGCTTACCAAACACTGATGGCGCATTACACTGTTCATCGACCGTTCCTAGTTGAAAGACTTTGGGGCAATTACATTTTTGCAGATGTTGATAACTGCTCAGACTGCTACGCTGGGCATCACAAAATGGGGAAGAGATGGACAGCCCTCTGTGGAGATAGAGGTGGTTAGGGACTATTTAGAAAAGCTGGACGTGCACAAGTCCATGGGGCCGGACGAGTTGCATCCGAGAGTGCTGAAGGAACTGGCGGCTGTGATTGCAGAGCCATTGGCCATTATCTTTGAAAACTCGTGGCGAACCGGGGAAGTCCCGGATGACTGGAAAAAGGCTAATGTAGTGCCAATCTTTAAAAAAGGGAAGAAGGAGGATCCTGGGAACTACAGGCCAGTCAGCCTCACTTCAGTCCCTGGAAAAATCATGGAGCAGGTCCTCAAAGAATCAATCCAGAAGCACTTGCATGAGAGGAAAGTGATCAGGAACAGCCAGCATGGATTCACCAAGGGAAGGTCATGCCTGACTAATCTAATCGCCTTCTATGATGAGATTACTGGTTCTGTGGATGAAGGGAAAGCAGTGGATGTATTGTTTCTTGACTTTAGCAAAGCTTTTGACACGGTCTCCCACAGTATTCTTGTCAGCAAGTTAAGGAAGTATGGGCTGGATGAATGGACTATAAGGTGGATAGAAAGTTGGCTAGTTTGTCGGGCTCAACGGGTAGTTATCAATGGCTCCATGTCTAGTTGGCAGCCGGTATCAAGTGGAGTGCCCCAAGGGTCGGTCCTGGGGCCGGTTTTGTTCAATATCTTCATAAATGATCTGGAGGATGGTGTGGATTGCACTCTCAGCAAATTTGCGGATGATACTAAACTGGGAGGAGTGGTAGATACGCTAGAGGGGAGGGATAGGATACAGAAGGACCTAGACAAATTGGAGGATTGGGCCAAAAGAAATCTTATGAGGTTCAATAAGGATAAGTGCAGGGTCCTGCACTTAGGAC